GGAGGTTTTTCGAGCAGGGAGGCATTCTTTACAAACGGTCGTATGGGGGGCCCCATATGCGGTGTGTTACTAAGGAAGAAGGTTGATATGTGCTGAGAGAGATGCACGAAGGATGTTGCGGTGATCATAGCAAGTCGGGGGCTTTGGTCGCAAGGATCTTAAGAGCGGGATATTTTTTGCCAACGATGAGGGAAGATGCGAAAGCAATGGTGAAGAAGTGTTTGCAATGCCAAAAGCACGACCCCCTTATCCACCAACCAGCAGAAGCAATGACAACGATGAGTGCCCCTATACCATTCGCCCAGTGGGGTGTCGACTTGATGGGGCCGATGCCTCAGGGAATCGGGCAGAGGAAGTTCTTAATAGTGGCGGTCGATTATTTCACAAAATGGGTAGAAGTCGAGCCCTTGGCAAAAATAACGGAGGAGAAAGTAATTAAATTTCTATACAATAACATCTGCTGTCGGTTTGGCGTACCTAAAGTGTTGATCTCCGACAACGGCACTCAATTCAATGGTAAGCGGATTCGAGCGTGGTGCGAAGACATGAAAATCGAGCAACACTTTACTTCCGTTGCTCATCCGCAAGCCAATGGCCAGGTCGAGGTAACCAACCAAATTATATTGAGTGGGCTGAAAACAAAGTTGGAGAAGGCCTCGGGAGCATGGGTCGATGAACTGAGTTCCGTACTTCGGGCATATCGCACAACCCCGAGGTCGACGACAGGAGAAACCCCGTTCAACTTAGCTTATGGAATGGAAGCATTGCTGCTGGTCGAGGTCGAGTTATCATCCCAGAGGTCGAGCAGTATGATGCTGAACAGAACGAGAAGCTGATGATGTCGGCCTTAGATACTATTGAGGAGCTGTGCGGGAAAGCAGCAATCAGGGTGGAGGCGTACAAGCAAAGAATGCGAGCCGCTCATGACAAAAAGGTGAAGATTCGCAGACTCCAGGTAGGCGACCTGGTTTGGAAGCGTGTCGATGTGCTCAAGCATGTGGGAAAGCTGGAGCCGAATTGGGAAGGTCCATACATGGTCGAGCGAGTGCACGCAGGAGGAGCGTACTCGCTGAAGGATGCTGAAGGCCGATCACTTGCCAGGTCATGGAACATAGCTAATTTGAAAAAATATTATGTATGAAAATTTTTGTTTCTTTTAAAAGAAAGCTGGGAAATTCGAACGAAGATGTAAAGTGCAAAATTTGCTCAAAAGACAATGAAGTTTAATGATTTTTCTGATTTTATTCGCTTTACTGTGCACTTTCTTATGCTTGGAATGTTGGTATAATCTGGATGACAGGATGTGTGTGTGGTATGGTTCGACTTGAAAGTCGCTTGTTTAGAACATTCCTTGGGGTGGGCAGGTTGGTCGAAGACCTCCTGTTTAGAACATTCCTCGGGGTGGGCAAGTGTGAAGACCAAAACCCACCATGACTAAG